ATTTATTTATTTATTTATTTATTTATTTTTGGTTTTTGAGACAGAGTTTCTCTGTGTAACAGCTCTAGCGGTCCTGGAACTCACTATGTAGATCAGGGTGGCCTCAACCATACAGAGATTCCCTCTGCCTCTGCTTCCCAAGTGCTAGGATTAAAGGCATGCACCACCACCACCCAGCTAAATGCTTATTTTATATGCTTAAACTTTACCTAAGTTTTAAATGCTTATTTTATACTTGGGGGAGGCTGGGAAGATGGCTCTGTGGGAAAAGTGCTTGCTGTGAAACACAAGGACTTGAGTTCAAATCCTCAGCACCCACACAAAAGCCAAGCACAGTGGCATATTTTTCTAACTCCAGTGAAGGAGGCAGAGACAGGTGGATCTCTGGGGCTTGTGGACCCAGTTAGTCTACTAAAGAGTGAGCTCCAGACTCAGTGAGAGACCCTGTCTCAGAAAATAAGGTGGAGCACAATAGAGAAAGATATCTGATTCTGATCTCTGGCCTTCACATATGTATACATGGGCATGTGCACTTGAACACACACCACATTACATGAAAAGTCTTCATACTTTTTCTTCATGTTGATTTTTAGCCTATTCTACCTTAAATTTCACTAATTAGAATAAAGAGTTTAAAAGGAAGAGGTGTTTATGATTTCAGATATTTCATTACTTGTTCTCATAAACCTTATGGCTTCTAAAACCCTATTGCTAAAAACATCACACTCTTTAGCTGTGGGACATAGTCAACCTAGAACTGATCAGGAAACTTCTTCCCCAGTGGCTAGTTTCCATAATGATGGAAGATGATATGAAGACCACTGGGAGAGAAAAGACATCAGTAATTTTGCCCAGGACTGGGCCTTGCATACTACAACAACAACCTGCCAGGCAAGATGTGCCCACCAGCGTAATAATGGCATGGTTGTTATTGGGGTAACCAACCACTTTCAGATTGGACTTGAGGTCTGCCCCAAAGAGGAGAATTCATGTTTGACTCTGTCAACCTTGTCAAAAGCTCATGGCTGAAGCAGTTTTGGGATGTAGGGGCAGTTCACTACTGCTCTTTTGCTAAATGGACAAGCTGTCAAATTGCCTTCTAAATATTTCTGTTTATACCCATAGGTTAGTGATGCTTGTCATCATTGGCCAGAGATGCTTCTTTTTGCAGTGGGCAGTGGTTAATATAGTGACTCAGAACTAGTCAAAGTGTTAAGAATAAATGACTATAAATGCTTATCCCTTAAAGCAACATCAATGTCAGCCCCCACCTGCACAGACTCAGGAAGGACTGAGGAATAAGGAGCAGGAAGAATCTAAGAGGCCCAGCACTTGGGAGGTAGAGGCAGGTGGATATCTGTGAGTTCAAGGCCAGCCTGGGCTATAGAGTGAGTTCCAGGACAGATAAGGCTACACAGAGAAACCCTGTCTCGAAAAACAAAAAACAAAAGTAAAACAAACAACAACAACAAAAAAGAACCTAAGAGGCAGAGGATGGAGAGGAGCATTGTGAAGTGCTGTCCTCTGGAGACAATATGGCTGTTATACTTTGGAACTTAGAGCAGCTGTGGTTGCTTGCACAAGATCAAGCCAGTCAACATTCCAAATGAATAGAGAAGGGGTTCATGAAGAGGCTTCACCCCGTTCTGGGGAGCTAGTGACATTTTATGGCTGTTGGGGAGGAAGAGTCATTTTTCTTTGGGGATGTGGCCACAGATAGGTTGCCTATTGCCCTGTGGATGGTCCTATATTCATACACATATAGTCAGTTTTGATTAATCTCAGGGATTTTTTTTCTTTAAGAGGACTTGAAGTTAGGAGGCAGATGTGTGGATGAGCCGAGGATGGGGGACTTGAGGGGTAGAAAAGGGGAGCAGATATGATCACCACACGTAGAATGCATGTATGAAGTTCTCAAATACATTAAGAGAGAGGGAGACAGCTGAACACTGGCAGGCATAAATTAACCCCTTGTTCTCTGTTCTTGACTGTGGGTGTGATGTGTCCAACTACTTCAAGCTCATGCTGCCTCAACTTCCCCACAATGATGAACTGCTGAAACGTGAGCCAGAAGGAACCACTTGTCCTTTAAAAAAAAAAAAGCCATGATCATACATTCTTCTAAATCCACAACAACAACAATTACAATAGCCTCCGCTGTACCAAATGGAACTTGATTTACTTCTTCCCCTCAGCATTCCATGTTGGCATAGAGACAGCATCACCTGTAGTAGCATCATCTTTCTCCTTAAGGCAGGGTCTCACTCGATAGCCCAGGCTGCCCTGGAACTCACTATGTATGGAGCCCAGGTAAACCTTGAACTTCTGGTGATTATCTGCCTCAGCCTCCAGAGTGTGGGGATACCGGTGTGAGGTACCAAGCCCTGCTTAGTATCATCTAAAAATTTCTGAGGGTTCAAATAGAGTTAAGAGACTTCTCCCTAGACGCTGCCAATAGTAGTAACGTGGAAACTCAACCTCCAGGTTTTATTGTCGTAGTTATCAAAGACAGGGGAACCTGAGTAGGTCAAGTCTTACCCAAGAGTTTCCTGGGGCTGAAGAGATGGCTAAGTGGTAGAGAGTTCTTGTTGCTCTTGCAGAGGGCCTGAGTTCCCTTCCCAGTATCCACATCAGGTGATCCACAACTGCCTGTGACTTTGCCAGCTCCAGGGGATCAGACACCCTCCATTGGCCTCCATGGGCACCCACCACATGAAAGTGTTCATATGCACAGACATAGACATATACAAATAAATGACGTACAAAAATGTATATGTAAATGCCTTGGTTCCACCCTACCACCCCACCACCCCATACACATGTTAACCTGTCAGACTAGGTCCACTTGCGGATCTTTCAGTCTGACTCTGGAAGCAGATTGGCTTGCAGCTGTGCCCCTGGAGCCTTTAATCAGGTGCAGGCTGATTCCATTCTTGTCCTCTAACAGAATCAGCAATTAGAGAGTATTGTTTACGCCTTGATTTGGTCAAAATGTTTGGATGTGAATGTGGCCCCCTTCAAAGTTTCGAGCAATTTAGAATAACCCAGTAGAGTACTCAAGAGAAATACTCGGGCGCCCACTGCTTCCAAAACTTTCTGCTCTGTTCCTTCGATTCTTCCCACAAAGTTACAAAGAAAGGCTAAGCGAGACGCTAAGTAATACATTTGAGCAAGCCAAGAAGGCAGACATCGGAGTCTGCTCTCTATTGGTGATCTGGAAGATAGAATCATGTCACAAACCACGAAGATAGTGTCCTCAATGAACAATTGCGTAAGTGGGGGGTGGTGGTGGACCCTCTTTTATATCAGACAACTTGCAGGAAGGGTAGTGGTCACAGGCTTTTGAGCTGCGGTTGATGTTGGCAGAAGGTAAACAGCTGGTGCCAACACCTGTTTCCCATCCCAGGGTCTCATAATGTGCTCACAATTTTGGAACTGAAAGCGTTCCTCAAAGCAACTCATGCATGCAAATAACCTTATCTTTTAATGCTCTGTATATCTTTCCTTCCAAATGTTTATTTCTCATGGTAAACACAGAAGAGTCTATCAGGCCTGGAGAAAAATGTAAGAACTGAGGTAGGGCAATGTAACCAAACCCTGCAATTTTGTTTTATTTTTCCTTCTGAGACAGGGTCTTATCTATAGCCGAGGATTTTCCTGAAACTCACTATGTAGCTCAGGCTGGCCTTAAATTATCAGTCCTGCTATCTCAACCTCCCAAGTGCTAGGATTATAGACATGGGCCACATGCCCAGCTTAAGCTATAGTGTGTTAATAAGTGTAACCAAAAAATCTTATCCATCTTGATTAAAAGTTTTAAATTAGGTAGTTGAGCAAACTTCCATGACTATACCATGTTATTAAGGCTCTTGCCCATGTCACTTGCTGCCACAGGCAGACGTGGAAGAAGGTAGCTACTTTATGGAGGCAATTTTCTATGTATTCTTTTCTAGGTATTCCTTTGGGACAGAGTCCAGACTGGGCATAAAGAGATGTGGAGATAGTCCACATTGAGTTCCTCTTCAAAGCTTCTCAAGGCAAAAGAGAACAAGTTCTCATCTAAGATGGGACCAGGGGCAGCTGTGTGTTCAAAGGGGCACTGGCCCACGTGATACTGCCTGTGGGTTGTGTTAAGAGACCACAGGTTCCCCAGAAATGTTCATTTGATGCTACCAGCCTAAGTTGCCCTCGAACTCAGTATGGAGCTGTGGGTGACTTTGAATTCCTGATACTGTTGTCTCTACCTTTAGAATGTTGGAATTACAGTCGTGGGCTAACTATGTCCCATTTGCAGGGCTGCCTTAGTTAAGGTTTCTCGTGCTGTGATAAAATGCTATGATGAAAAGCAACTTGGAAAGAAAGGCATTTATTTCAGTTTATTTACAACTCTGAGGTTGCAATCTAGTCTCCAAGGTAAAGCAAATGCAGGAACTTGAGGCAGGAACCTGGAGGTGAAAAGGGAGGCAGAGACCACAAAGGGGAGCTGCTTACAGGCTTGCTCCTTATGGTTTGCTCAGCCTGCTTTCTTACGCAACTCAGGTTGTACAACCAAGGGGCGGCAGCCCCTCACCCCACCCCAGAATTTGGGCTGGGCTCCCCCACATCAAACGTTAATCAAGCAAAGGCTCTACAGACTTTTGCCTACAGGCAGTCTTTTGGAGGCATTTTTTTCAAGTGTGGTTTCTTCTTCTCAGATAATTCTAACTTGTGTTAAGTTGAAGGGGAAAAAAAAGACAAAATAAAAGCAGAACAGGGTGCTGGGGACTGAACTCAGGCTTCAATGCATGCTAGGCAAATAACTCTACCAACTGAGCTGTCTACATCCTCAGCCTTACACCCCATGTTCTTTTGCTATTGTTACACCTTGGCCAAGGCAAAGGGGAGAAGCAGTCTCAGGCACTGAGGGAAGTCAAATACCACATAGAAAACATGGCTGCTCCTTTGTCATGTCTGTGTTAGTTTTTTATTTGTTTTTTTTTTTGTTTTTTTTTTTTAAATAGAACTAGTGACTGTGACCTCGGCCCTTGAGAAAGAGAAAATAGACACGGATAGACACACATGAGGGAGTGAGAATGCCATGGGAAGATGGAGACAGAGACTGAACGATGTGTTGACCCGTCAAAGGATGCCAACACCTGGCAGCAGCTACCAGGAGACAATCCTGAAACAGACTTCCCTTCAGAGATCCTGGTAGAAAGGAGCCTTGCCAACACCTTCCTCTTGGACCTCCAGCCTCCAGAGCGGTGAGATAAGTTTCTGGTATTTGAAGCTATCCGGCTTGTTCTGTTTTATTATGCACCTGCAGGCAATGAATCTACCCTGACCTGCAGCAAGGCAGAGGCCAGGCTCTGCTGCCCGCCTCTCTTCCCACAGAACAACAGCCGCAAGGAAGAGACAATGGGAGTTCTCTTTGATGCTTAAAGATCAAAGGGTGGGATTTGGGCACTAAAGTCTGTCCGTAGGTCACAAGTCGCTGTGACATTGGCACATTATTTATTGAGCATGTGCTTTGTGCCTGGTCACGAAGTTGCCCAGATCTTGTGGAAGAGTAGATGAGGACTAGGGTTCAGTAACTTGCCTGGGTCACAGCAGGCATGGCTTGGGTAGAGACTCCAGGTCTGTACTTCCATAGACAACTGCTCTCTTCTCCTCACTTGTTTTGAGGTGTGTGTGTGTGTGTGTGTGTACACATGTGTATACACGTGTGTGTACGTGTGTGTACTTCCATAGACAACTGTCTCTTCTCCTCACTTGTTTTGAGGGGTGTGTGTGTGGGTGTGTGTGCGCATGTGCGTGCTTCAGGTAAGATGTGGTCATGCACAGTATGTGTGTGGAAGCCACAGAATGACTATTTTTTTTAGGGAATTTCAGAGAAAACAGAAAGCTGGTCAAGGAAATTAGGACTCAGATCTGGAATAAGGAAGACTCAGAGAGCTGTGGTGACATTTTCATATGTCTTTGAGTGACATCTCAATGTACACCCAATACATTTTCTGTGAGATGTGAATGATTTTGCTGTAACACTTAAAATTAATTAGCCAAAAGGCTATCTGGGCAGTAAACAAGTGTAAAATATCTGACATGCTGAACCCTGTGGGATGCTCAACCCTGCGGGATGCTCAGCCCGCACAGCAAGTGGCCTTTAGACTCTTGCCAAGCTCCTAATGTATTTCAAAAGAGCAATCAACTTGATCCACCCTTGAAGGTGCTTCTGAACCCCAGTGCATTTGCCTGCCCAGTGAAGCCAAGAAGCCAAAACCGTATGGGTAGATAGAGAGCTGGTAAGGTTTGGGCTTGAAAACCATCCTTCTTCCACAGTGAGAGCCAGTCATATTTTGTCTCTGAGTGGCCACGCAGATGCACACAGTACCCTCTGTGTATTTAATTAGTCTGCATTAAATACCAACTGGGTATTTACTGGGTACCAACTGTAGGTATGCCTTTGCTGGGGCTGAGCCATTTCTAATCTAAACAGAGCAGTGAGGTTTGCTGGAATTTGACTCTCAGGGAGTTTCCCTGAGCTTCCCTGAGTGGCGACTTTGGCTGCATTGCAATCCCAGGCTGAACACGTTCTGTGGAGGAATTATGTGGCTTGTTGGCAGAGTTGCTCCTAGTATCATCTGGAGCAATCATGTGGTAGAATCTGTGGGACATTTTCCCCATTTCCATGTCTTCTTCATTCTCAGTATTCTGCTGGACTACATTTCCCAGGCTCCTTTGCAACTCCGTACAGTCATATCATTGAGTTCTAGCTGAGGGAGTGTAGATGCAAATGACATATGCCATCATGGGCCATGGTTTTTAAGAACTGTTTCTCTTTGTTTTATTTTCTTTTTGCTAGAGGTTCCAGCAGGCATGCCAGCCTGTGGCTAGTGGGCTGCATGCGGCCAAGGACAGATATGAACATGCCCAAACACAAAACTATAAATTTGGGCCTGCAAGACGGATCCATGGATTAACGTGCTTGTTGCGCAAACTTAAAGATATGAGTTTGATGCCTGGAACTCACAGTGGAAGAAGAGAAACAACTCAGGCATATCTCTCTCTCTCTCTCTCTCTCTCTCTCTCTCTCTCTCTCTCTCTCTCTCTTTCTCTCTCTCTGTATGTGTCTATCTGTCTGTCTGTCTATCTCTTTTTCTCTGACACACACACACATACACACACACAATCTTGCTCACTAAATTAAATAATAAAATGTAAATCCCCACGGAAACAAGGCCCCGTAGCCATACTAAGACTGACACACTTATGAACTCGCAGAAAGTGTGGCCGCATGCACAGGACCTGCACAGGTCTAAGCCAAATGGGGTCCCAGTGCTAAGAGGGGGAGCAGACGCAAGCCCCCATCTGTAACCCAGAAGCTATTTCCAATCGATAACTACTTGCTAAGGAAAAATTAGCTTTTGCCAATGGAGTCTCACTGGGTCTACAAAGCACACTTAAGGGCAGGCTCTATGCCAGCAGTAGATGGCCAACACAGAATAAACTCAATAGTATCTTGGGAGGGTTTT